AACATTTATGTTTATAAATTTCAGTTTTCGTTCCACCAAATAAAGAGTGACTAAATTCTTCCTCCCATTGCAAGTCAAAACCCATTTCTTCTGCGGTAGACTTTAAAACATAACTTTTTGAGCTACCCGTATCAATCATTAATCTAACTTTACGCCTTTTATTCTTACCCTCTATGTTTACAACTAGGGTCTGAAGGAAAACTTCATTCGTAGCACGCGAATGCAAAGAATCGATTGTTTTCTCTTTTTTCTCATCATTTTCCTGGTTATGCATTTCACTAGACTTATTACATTCAAGACTAGGACAAAAAAATTTCAAATGCCTTTTTGAACAGAATCTGACACTTAACACTTGATCGACACTGGTTACTGAGGTGACCTTTAACCAAGCATATTCTGCATAAACCTTTCTTTTTACCGCGCAGACATTTTTTCATCTAACGGAATATAAAACGCCTTTTTACAATTACGCGTTTCATGATCTTTTAAACAAAACGAACAAGAAGGTATTGCTTCATGATTCATCAAATCCGACGCGGAAGGAATATTTTGGCTAGTTGCCAAGTGCTTACGATCAGACACAGAAAAAATATCCGCTCTGCTTAATTTTATTTTTTCTTCTGACTGAACTTCGCTTTTCAGAAATTCAATTATTGCATCAAGACTCGAAATGTTTCGTTCAGATTCAGTAATTTTTCTTACATGAGTAGGAATAGCACTTTCCACAAGAGGATATAAAATTGTTCCACACTGATCAGTTGTCACACCGAGACTGCTCAGGGCTCTAAGTTGTGTTGAAAGTTTGTTATACAAACTACTCAAAGAATCCTGCTTCTTTTTCGCTGCGTTATCCAAAACAAGTTTTATTAACTCTCGAACATAAAAATCAATTAAAAGTTCTTTACGGCCATATCTCTCAGTAAGGCTTTCTATAGCCAAAGGATAATTTTCGTTCGTCACAGGAAAAGATTCTACAATATCTCTAGCTTCTGATTTAATTTTTGTTGACTGTATCAAATAATGGAATTTGTCTGCATTCGTTAAGTTATTATTTTCATGTATGTTTTTAAACTGATTCCAAAACGTAAGCCAATTTTTTAAATCACCTGCGAACTTATAAAGTTCTACTTTCGGTAGGCGTTGGCACAAAGTTTTACATGTATTTTCATCAGTAACTAATTTCTGACTACTCTCTGACGATGTATTTTGGATTTCGTTTAATTTACTCTTAATATTATCGAGAAAATCGTTCCGATTTTAACTGTATCCTAACAGCCTTTTCTCGATAGTCCTCTGTTATTTCAAATTCTGTTTCGAATTCTTTATCATCAGGTATAGTATCTAAATAAGCACTGTGCGTCAATTCTAATGTTTCTGCCTTTTTCTTGAACAAATAAAAACACATTTCTGCTTCTTCATAATCAACATTATCATCATTTAAAAGTTCATCTAGTCTTTTATTTGTTTCTTTTCATCCCTTCCATTTTGTCTTAAGTTTAAAATATTCAGATAAAAATTAGGCAAGAATAGTATTTTAAATTTCAGTAAAACAATAATCAATAACTTCAAAACGGAAGTATAAGGTAATCAACTTACCCTATCTATTCTTTCATCCGACATGTTTCCAACAAACATGCCCCACGTCGGGGGCGCTAGAAATGTCGTGAACATTGTGAGTTTAAGAGAAAATAATGACCGATTTGTTAAAATTTAGATCAGATGAAAGATCTTTTAATATATAGCATTTTAATACTATTTAGCACAGTGTAATAGGTTCATTTTACAATACGTCCATAAAATCATCGTTACAACATCCATAAAATGATCAAACATCCATAAAATTCGCAACATTCATAAAATGATCGTTACAACGCAGTTCGATCATCCATCTTTTTGAACAACAATCTCTGTCGTTGCCATTCCGTAACAGAGAAACTTACCTCTCATGCAGTTTGATCGTGGCGCGACACAGCTAATAACTGTAGACGGCTTGCTTGTTATGGCTGGAGAATGTTTAGATTTGAGGGGCAGTTGCTTTTCTAATCGCGAATATTTCTCTCTAGAGTTATAATTAACAGAAGCCGCGTGTTCTCTGCTGAATACTTCATTTCTCAAAAAGGCTAACAGACCTTTTAAATCCCAATTTTCGTCTTTAATATTTCGGCTATAATCAAGAACGAATTCATTAGGAAGTAATTTCAAAATTAAAGGCGTTAAAAGATTTCGGTAAGAATCAGAGTCTATTTTTAATGCTTCAAGATTTCTGATATGTACTTCGGTGTGATCGAGACGTTATCGTTTCAATTCAGTAAAAAACAGATCATTCAAAATTCTAGATAAGCAAATAAAGAAAGGTTGCTTACCTTTATGATCCGCTTTCTTCGATTCTGGTCCGCCGCTTTAGTAGACTCCGATTTGGTTCCAAACTCATCTAAAATTGGCACTATTTTGTATGAATCACTTTATTTGACATTTGACACAAAGAGGAACAATATCTAAATCATTACACTATCAGAAAACACTTCTAACTACTTAGCATCATTGTTCTACATATCTAACAGCGTCATTAGTCTACTGCGTCACTGTTCTAAAAGCATACACTTATCGTTGCCAGTTCTAAAAAAACAAACTTTCTTTTTCAATTCTCGTCGGTCTGGAGGCTCAATCCGTTCCCCAAGAGCGGAGCGTGCGTCGTTCGCGACACACTCCCCCCTCCCCGATGAGTTTCACCAAGTTGAAACTCAGCCACAGTCTGGTTGAAAGTTCATGAGGTTTAATCGTTCAGGAGTTTAATCGAATCACTCGTCCACATCTAGTTGTTTTGAGGGGATTCTGATTGAGTTCATCTGACTGATCTTTGTCAGTGGCACGAAACATTGTAGATCCAATAGAAGTTGTAGGCTTATCACACATTTTTTGATCAGAATGCTTCTTTCTCAAACAGTCTCCTATATTATCCGTTTGTAAATGGACTTCCAACGGATAAATTCGTTGTATGGGTCGAAGGATTTCGCCACTTTTGGTGCGTAATTTTACTAAACGAACTACACCATCATTTCCTGGGATGAGTGTTATAATTTTTCCTAGAGGCCACTTAATTCTTTTCTCAGGTGTTTCTATTAACACAATGTCTCCAACCGATAGTTTAACATATTTCTCTGTTTTTAAAATATGGTTTTTCAGTTGTCCTAAGTATTCAGTTCTGAACCGTTTTCTTAGATCTTCTCTAACCTTCATCTGATATGCATACCTTTTTTGTAAGTATTTGGCATCAATAATATCTAGATCTGGAACGCCACTTTCTTTTAGATCACGAAAAAACATTGCAGGTGTCAAGGGTTCCAGTTCCAAGTCCTCGGAAATATAAGTTAATGGTCTGCAATTTAAGATATTTTCGCAATCACAGAGGATCGTATAGAGTTCTTCATATTTCAGTGAGGCATTACCTAAAACTTTTCTGAGAATGTTTTTCATCAGGCCAATCATTCTTTCCCAAAATCCACCCCACCAGGGAGAAGCTGGTGGGATAAATTTCCACTTAATGCGGTTGACAACATGATTTTTAATAAGTTTATCCCAGTCAATCATTTTTAAGAGCGAATTTGTACCAATAAAATTACTACCGTTATCAGTGTAGACAATTTCAGGTCTTCCTCTGCGTGCTATAAAACGTCGGAAAGCCAATAAAAAGTTATCTGTTGACAAAGACGTTAAAAGTTCAAGATGAATTGCCCTGTATACAGCACATGTAAATAAAACGATCCACGTTTTCGATCCATTTTTTTAAAAACAAAGGACCAGCTAAGTCGATACCTGTCACTTCAAAAATAGAAGAATCTTTAACGCGGTCCTTTGGCAAAGGTGCGGATTGTACCGTGGAGGGCCTCGAATCAAATCTTCTACATTTAGTGCAGTTTTTCAACACTTTACGAATAGTTTTACGACTTTTCAAAATCCAGAAATTTTCTCGTAGCATTGCCATTAAAAGTCTGAGTTCCGCAATGCATTTGTTGTTCATGTTTTTCCATAATCAGTTTAGAGACAACTGGATGTTCAGGAGGTAGGATTACAGGTGTTCTAAAATTTTCGAAGTCTTGTCTCATTAATATTCTTGACTTTACTCTTAAAAGACCAGATGAATCAACAAATGGTTTTAAATTTCGTAAGCGTTTATCCTTTTCTGTTTTAAAGGAGACCCTTTGCACAATTTTCCAAACAAGGACTTCAGCTGCATTCAATTCTTCGATTTCTAAGTTCTTTGACGTTGTTCTGTTTTTATCTCTGCAGTTATCAATATACCTTTTTATCCAGGCTGTAACTCTAATTATTTTCTCAAAAGAAGAAATTCGTGAGAAATGCGAAAATTCTTCATCTACATTTGTTAACGAGGATACAACTGTTTTTCTTCTTTCTCGATCAATCATATCTTTGTCAGGAGAAATATCACAAGTAGGCCAACAGTCTGGATTCAACTTCACCCATGCTGGACATTCATGCCATCTTTTGGTTTTAGTAGTTTCAACAGAACATCCTCTTGACGGAATATCCGCAGGATTCAAGTTGCCAGGAACATAATTCCATGTATCAGGATTAGTAAGAGCTCGTATTTCTTTCACTCTATTCATAACAAATGCATCCCTTTTATTTTGAGTATAGTTATATTCCCACTCTTGTAATTCAAATTTAGCATTTGCCAAAATTTCAGTGGCATCATTTTTTAACTTCTTTAATTCTGATTCATCATTCACACTTGTAACTAAATTATCAACGTACCAGGATTCTACTAATTTATTAGCACTCGCACGATAATTTTCTGGTACTTCATTCATTAATTTCGTTGTGTTGCATTTAAGAGAAATGGACTGCTGGTTATTCCAAAGACCACTCTTCTATGCCTGTATATTTTCAAACGCTCAGAATTTCCCTGTTCCCACCATAAAAATCTTAAATAATCTCTGTCTTTAGGATTAAGTGCTATCTGCAGAAAAGCCTTCTTAATATCAGCGCTCACGCCAATTTTTTCCCAGTCGAAATCTATTTATTATAGCTGGAACAGTATCAATCAAATTTGGACCCTTTTCCAAACAGTCATTTACGGAGGGTGATCCTTTAGTTCTTACGGATCCATCGAAAACCGGTCTTATTTTTGTCGTGGTGGAATTCATTCGAATAACAGCACGATGGGGTAAATAATGAGAGGGGTTATTAACTTCTTCCTCAGGAACAATCTCTATTATTTTATCATCTTCCCAAGATTTAAAAATTGCGTTATAATCTTCTAAAAATCCCCCATCCCTTAAATTCTTCACTGTGCTCTTTAATCTCTTTTCTGCTATTTCTCGATAGTTTGGAAGTAGGGAACGATTTTCAATCCAAGGTAAACAAACTTGAAACCTTCCTTCTTCATCTCTTTTCACATTGGAAAGAAAATGTGTCATTGTTTGTTTTTCTAATTCCCTTTTAGTTTGACTTTCTGAAGGGTCTAATATCCCAAGAGTATCAAGTTTCCATAAATCAGAAATTTTACTATCTGATACTAACATAGAAAATGCATAAGAACAATCATATTTATTTTCCATTTCTACGGGAATTTTCCCCATGATACTCCAGCCTAAATAAGTTTCAATGCAAACTAATCCACATTCTAACTTCTTTATTTTCCCTGTAAGCAATTTTCCCGCTATGTCTGCGCCTATGAGGATATGAATTTCAGAAGGAGAATGCTCGAACAACAATTTTTTATGCCTACCTTCAACATCATTCAAAAATATGTTATGGGTTTTTAACTCATTTAAATAAGGCTTGATGTTCAATTGTGGAATATCAGAACAAATATTCGCTTGATCAAAAGCTTTGAAGTTACACTGATAATCGTTTTTGATACTACTTAAACGTACAACGAACTGTTTATGAGTTTCAACCACTTCAGTTCCTCCGAACAGACTATGAATCACACTGCTTTCGTTAATACATTCGTACTGCATAGCATTAGCTAAGAATTTAGATACATAGCTTCGTTGACTCCCAGAATCAATTAAACAGCGGCAGTATTTTTCTGGACCATTGCCACGCACTCTTACAACTAAAGTTTGTAATAAAACTTTCTCTAAACATGATTTGTTCGTCAAATTGAGATCCTTCTTATTTGATTTTTTCTCATCTAAACTATTTCTGTCACAGATTAAACTGTTGTGTTTCCACCCACATGAATCACACTTTATCTTCGAAAAGCAATTTTTTGCCAAATGGTTACCCCTTTTAAGGCATAAATAACACATTCCGAGTTTCCGAAGTGACGCCTTTCTGTCTGTTACAGACTTCGGGGGGCAAGCTTCGGAAGTATGTTTTTCTTTTCTGAATCCTCGCAAAATATGCAGCTGTTAATTGAAACCTTTAACACAGCAGCCGTTGGAATAGAAATTTTATTTATTCTTTTTTCTTTAGGAAAGTGGCTCGAATTATGGTTGTTTATTTTATCTTGAATTTGTAGCATGGATTCGCGGCACTCAATTTCCGTTTTCAAGAACTCTAATAATTCGTTTACATCGAAATTATCTTTCGATTTCCTTTTTTCTTTGGAAATCAAGATTCAGTTCATTCGGAATTAATTTAATAAAAAACTGGTGTCAATAACGTGCCATATGTGCCAGAAGTTACATTAAGTGATTTTAAAACTTCTTATCTGTATTTCGATATCATCATACAACTTACGTAATGCAAATATGTTGTTAGCATTCCTAACAGGTTCTAAATTTAACAGTTTTCCCATATGTGCATTTATAATTAAATCTGTTCGACCAAAGCGTGTTTTTAGTAACTCGATTGTGGCAAAATAATTTTCACTTGATAATGCAAAACCACTAACAGCATTACAAGCAGCACCTGATAAAATGATATCAAATAATTAAATTTGTCTGTATCTGTTAAATCACTATTCTGATGTATCGCATTGTCAAACTGGTTCCAAAATGATAACCAATTAATAGGATCGCCATTAAATTTATTGATCGATAATTTAGGCAATTTAATTTTTGAATGAGATACAGAAATATTTGAAATATCATTATTCACAATATTACTAATTGTATTCGAAACAGGAATTTCAGGTTTCCTATTCTCTTTTAACATAAATGTTAGTTTTGATTTCATGGAAATTATTTTCTCGGAATAAACTTCACAAGTTTCAAATTCCGATTCATATTCAGTAGCCACAATTAATTCTTGTATTTGTTTATCTAATTCTTTTAGGCTGTTATGTTTTGAATCTAATAAATCAATATTTTCATTAAGAATACACAAATCGTGTTGTGTTTCTTGGAGGTATTCTTTACAATTATTTATCAACTTTGTTGTCATACTCCTAACTACAGTTCGTCTTTTCTTTAATTCTATTTTAGTAAACATGTTTAAATATTTCAGATAGAAAATATTTCAAATTAAAAATCAGTACTCTCAAATCATAAATAAACTTCTCAAATCAAAAGGAGATATTTTTTAAACATTCCTAAATCTTTCACTTCAATATAGTCTACATCGGCGGTCCCTGTTCGGGCGCCAAAAAATTTATATCGTTTCAATTCAGTAAAAAACAGATCATTCAAAATTCTAGATAAGCAAATAAAGAAAGGTTGCTTACCTTTATGATCCGCTTTCTTCGATTCTGGTCCGCCGCTTTAGTAGACTCCGATTTGGTTCCAAACTCATCTAAAATTGGCACTATTTTGTATGAATCACTTTATTTGACATTTGACACAAAGAGGAACAATATCTAAATCATTACAGTATCAAAAAACACTTCTAACTACTTAGCATCATTGCTCCACATATCTAACAGCGTCATTAGTCTACTGCGTCACTGTTCTAAAAGCATACACTTATCGTTGCCAGTTCTCAAAAAACAAACTTTCTTTTTCAATTCTCGTCGGTCTGGAGGCTCAATCCGTTCCCCAAGAGCGGAGCGTGCGTCGTTCGCGACAGATGTCTTCTTAATCTGTTTACATCATTAGGATTTCTAACAGGTGAAATACTTAAGAGTTGTCCTAAATGCGAATTAATTAAGATGTTCGTTTGCCCAAATCTGGAACGTAACTGTTCAAGAGCAGCTTCGTAATTATTTTCGATGAGAGCGAAACCAGAAATAGCTTTGGCGGCTGAGCCACCAAGAAAGCTTTTCGAGTAAATAAATTTTTCTATTTTTATAAATTCAGATTTTTATCAATCGCATTTTCGAACTGACCTATAAATTCTAAGCAGTTCGAAGGATCACCACAAAATTTAGAGATGTTTGATTTTGGAAGACGAGTGAATTTGTTACTTTCGTTTTGGGATTCTGTAATGGTTTCATTAGAAATGTCCATACTTGCATTGTCCGAATTTTCGAGCTTATTCAATTCCTTCAACTTTTTCTTTCCTCTAAATTGACACACTTGAATTTTCTCTTCATATTCCAAAACGGATGAGATTTCGAGTTCAAATTCGACTTTCAATACTCGTTCTATTTGAGCGTCTAAATTACTCAATTTTGATTTTTCGTTTAACTGGTCTAAAATTTCTTCTAATTCATTTACATTTATACTACTATCATCTTTACTCAGTTCGGTTTCGCTTTTCTTTAATATCTTGGACACTGCGGTCCTAAATACCTTTCGTTTCGATTCCAGTTTAGCAATAAGATCTTCCATATTATACCAAAAATAGAAAATACAGGCTTACCTTGGATGTCTTCGCACAAAATGCTAATCCAAAATTAAAAAACACAAATTGTTAAATTGCCCAAAGGTTCATGGCACCGATGCACCATGTCGCGAAAGGGGTTTTTTTATTTTCTAAGTCGAAATTTCGACCCTATCTAAAATCAATCTTTCTATAGGAAGAGCATCATATTTATGTCTATAATTGATCTATATTCGGCAAGGTTAAATTAAATATTTATTTAAAATATGTGTACAGTTAATTAATCAATATACGGAAAATTCTACAAATCAAAGGATATGGCTTAATGCGCCATTCTCGTCTGGCATCTAACATCTAACTTCTACTTCAGGTGAGAGCACTGCTATCACTGTATGATACCATATTTCTCTACAATAGATTTCAAATGAGAATCCTCAGTAAAAATTAAAACTTAACTTTTCAAGCAAACATTTTGCGTACATGCAAAAATAAATAGGTTTTTATGTGAGAAATGTGTTCTAGATTTTGATATAAATATATTATAAATAATTCTTGAAAGAAATTTTTTATTATTTTCAATTTTTCTTTTGGCTTTAGCATCAGCCTGTCAGTTTGCTACTTTAAAGCCCGATGGATTCCCTTATGCTATTGTAAGCATGTTCTTCGCCTATTTATCCAGTGTTTTCATCTATGCTCTTCCACCTTTCATCGCAGCTGTATGGTTCCCTAGCAACGAAGTATCACGTGCTTGTGCTTTCGGAATTTTCGGTAGTCAGGTAATATTACTTGGCTATTCATTAACTCCTATAATAATTTTAAAAATGGAATATTTCAAGTTTTAAAAATCCACGATTGTGTATTTAACCAAACTTTGATACTATTATCACGGAATAACAAAAATGTTATTGTAGTTTCTCTAGTAAATAACGTGAATATGCCATATATTTTTATACCTTCACATTGAATACATAATTTTATTTCGAATGATATCTAGAACCACGTTATGCATTAATTCTGAAGTTATTCTGAAACTAATTTGGCCACCAAGTTACTTTCCAAAACTGAAATTGAGGGAAATTTAATTTTTATTATTTTGAGAACTGTGGTTATTCCTTCAATTTCAATATTAGTCATTGTAGATTCATTAGGTTATTTTGAAAGAGAAGTACTTGAAAAACGCGCAATTTTCTCGCTGGGGCTCGAACCTGGAGTTTTCAAATACGCTACCAGTGTGCTACCGTTACATCACAAAGGCATGCTGGACCAAGGCGTTCTTGTTACGGAGTACCTTTGCAAATAAATGCAATTACTTCTACATCTTCGTTAATAAAATATGAAATGGATAAGAAGGAGCATACGTTAAAGAAAGTGAAAAGAAAATCCGATGGGCTAATATAAAGAGATCGATAAGAAAATCCTCTTTCATGGGCAGAGAAGTTAAGTAACTGTGGTTAGCCGCAAAGAGAGGGGCGATTAGCCCCCGCGGCGCGTAGCACAGGAGTCAGTACGAGTTAAGACAAAATGGCATGCTAGAAGTAGGAGAAAGTACTTTATACACTCTCCCTTTTAAAATGCAGCTGAGAAGAAGAGGACCCAATCGCCAAATCCTGGTGGTGACGAGTTATCTTTCTTTCTTTTCACCATCGACGGAACAGCTGGCCCACTGGGTTAGGTGCTTTTCAGCCTTTGGATCCCGTCGATGGAATTAAAAAAATACATGAATAAATATAAGAGCCTAGTACTGCGTCCTCCGGGGATTGGCCACGAAATGAGGAACATTGAAGTAAAGACCAGAACATGGAAAGAAGGTGCATGGTGGGGACTGCTGAGACTAAGCGGAACACTTTTCACTATTATCGTACATGTTAGGCATACAGTTATATTAAGAATGTGCTATAAAAATCAGATACAGATGTAAAGAAGACCAAATACATTACAAATCGCGGAATACATTAAATGAATTCTAGATTAATCATAATATTAAATATAATTAAAAACAGAAAAAACAAACAAAAAACACAAGACATTAAGTAAATTAATACATGTACAGAGCAGGCTGCTGACGGCTCGATGTCCAAGGAAAGAAGTCACTCCAGGTTGTCAGCAATGCTTTTAGCAATGGTAGTGCAGTCTCTAATGCGGCTGAGGGCATATTTATTCTTAATTGTGTCTTGAACCATGCTGGCATATTGATTGCAGTTGGTCTTTTTAAATGTGAATTCCCTGTGTGCGAGCAGTCAAACAGATAGTAATCTGGGTCACCAGGACTGCCACAAATACATTGGTCACTGTCCCTTAGGCGAAATCTGTTATGTCTGTAATATATGGGCCATGCCTTGTCAGATACCGTGTAAGGTGCGAAGAACTGCTATTTAAATTGTGGTTAACTTTTGGTTGGAAATCATAGTCTTCTGCCTGTGGTGCTTGTCTCCCAGTAGTTTTGCCACTGCTTCATTAGTTCACATTTGAGAGTAGTTTTCAGATACGAGTGCGGAAGGGGCACACCAATGCTACTCACGTGGGGTTCATTCAACGCAATCATATCCGCTGCTTCATTTCCTTTAATTCCCGTATGGGCTGGAACTCATTGTAGCTGGGGGTGACGAGTTATCGTCTGCCACCTTTTAGTTCGGATGCCACTGTAGAGTCATTAGGTTATTTTGAAGGAGGAGTACATGAAAAATGAGCAGTGCCTTTGCCGGGACTCGAAGCCATCCCTCTCGAATGTACGCGCTGAATGTGCTACCGTCACACCACGAAGGCATGCTGGAAGGAGGAAGAAAATGCCTTATATCTACATAAGCACGGCAAATTCCACAAAAATTGATATCAAGGGCACATTAATAAGTTAAAATTTAATTTTCCGAGTTATTTTTCAGTTTCATCAGTTTTGATCCTAAACTGTTAAAATTGGTTCCAAAATATAATATTTTTTCAACAAAACTTTCGAAATTTAAAAACAGCAACTAGGGGTGAACCCTAAAAATAGACTTACGAGACAACGACCAAGTACAAATTTCTATTTGAATTTGGTGGCACCAACGATTTATGTATATATCATACGGTTTTGTAGATGAATAAAATTATTAGCTTATATGTAATAGCAATTTGTACCTTTTTTCAGCTTGGCAGTGTTTGTGGATTTCTTCTCACTCCTTTTATGGTATTCAGTGACTGTTCAAGGAAAGATCTGATTGAAAACGGCAAGTTTAACGTGGCAGTCATTCTTACGGCAGCGAACATTGGAATGCTAGTCTTGACAGCTTTAAGTATGATCACATTTTCTTTTTTGTTTCAATTCATTATACACAGTGAACAAGAAGTCTGTTCTTGATTTTAAAACTTTTATACGAAATGGTCGGAAAAGATAGAAGTGTGAAATTTTTTAAAATACTTAGTCCTATCAATATGATTATTTTACCATGTAGTTCATGGTGCCGAGGAATGGTTAGTAACGAAAAGGCGTCGATGAAAGTAAAAAGCTGACTGTTTTTGTGATACTAAATATTAAGCGTTAAACTTAAATTAAGTCACAAAAATCCTAGTTTATTAAGTGGAAATTTACCCAATTCCATTGTGTGTTTCAGCGCGTGTGCAAGTAAGGAGTGAAAAGAAGTTACCAATCCAAAAATCCAAATTAAAATTAAACCAAACAAATAATTAATTGAAAAACACGTTGTGTAGTATAAATTTACAATAGTTAATAAATTAAATTTTGATAAGCAGTAATTAAAATAATTAAATGAATTTGCTACACAACACTAATAAATAGAAATTCCTGTTGCACAGCATCACAATTGCGAAGAACATCTTGATATTTTAACCCACTTTTAATTTTTCAGTTTTGTTTGATGTTTTCAAGCTTTCTTCGCTTGATTTATTATTAAAGCTGCTTATATTTCAAAATAATAGATCCGTGTTTAATAAACCATAATATAGCGTTTTAGGAGGAACTCCTAAGTTACTTAAATGAGTTGTATTGCGGAGGGAAATAGGCAATCATTGGGTAACAACTTGAAAAGCGGCACACCTCCAAGCTCAAATGATCTATTAAAATTGCTTGACAGGATCTGAATAATACAAGATCATGTTCAATAATATCATAATGTTTAAAGTATGTCGCTTACTACTAAATCTCTGACTTGATCAATGTTTTACTCATTAGTTGAAGTGGATGATTTACCACAGCACAGCTCAACTTTGACCCTTTCTCTGAATAAAATATCTTATATCACTCAGAAAACTCTTGTTTTAGATAATATCTTCAAAGATCTGTAGCAGAAATTTCATTGCAAAACAAAATTCAATTCATGTTCTTGCCTCAGTTATAAATTTTATTTATAAAATTTTAATTAAAAAACTTTAAAAAAATCGCCAAAAAATTAGGTATTCATTAAAAACAAATTTAGATAACAACGTGCCGTGAAACTGTTGCCATTTAGAGCTAATTGCGGGTAAGCGTTGAGTAACATCATACTCATAACATCTTGCCTTCATTTGACATAATCCCGATTAATTCTCGATAAGCCACGTTTTGCATTTTATCAACAAAGGAACATATTAACTGTTATTATTGTACTTTCTTTCTTGAATTTTGAAAAAACAAATCGGATTTAGCATCTACAGAACAGCAAGTAGTGGATTATTTTCAATGTTGGACACGAAAGGTTAGTTGAATACGACTGATAGTGATAGACTGGAACAGATATTTGCAACATGTTTGTACTCATACTTTTCGTTCTAAATGGAGCTTTCGGTAAAATCGGAAGGAAATAATCGGAACAAAATAAGAGGAACTGACAAAAGTTTTCTAATGAAGCGCAAAAATAAAGCAGGTCAAATTGATCATTTGTTAAATGAAGGGGCGCCAGCTTCTTCAGAATTCCGCAGGAATGATTGGCACAACATTTGTGGGAATCTATGCCAACATCATGATCGACGAGATAGTACATTAAGTACCCAAATATATCTGGGAATATATATAGAAGAAACGAAATAATGCTTGTTGCTAGATTTTGATGAAGATCGTACCCATTTCTAAAAATACCGTTGGAAGTGATTTCTTGCGCTACACACTTTTACTGAGCATGCCTGGCTCTTTTTATGCTTTCATCACAACTATTTCATCATACTTGCTGTGTCAGTATTGAAAAACAGAGTTTGACCGTTTTGTAATAATTTTTTAAACCTTAAAGTAAAATATTACTTTCTTCAGCCTTTCAGAATGAGCCCTTAAATCCACCAAGTGAATGCCAAGCACTCAAAGAAAAATCAACGTGTATGCCGTATAAAACTTCTGCACTTCGTATCATACGAAACAAATATTTTGTTTTGTTACTATTCTTGTATGGTAAGTACTGAATATATTTTCAAGATTTCGCATGTACTTCAGTTTTTATATTAACTATAAAATCAAAAAGTAATATTTTTGCCTTATTTATGTGAATGTTTTGTCTTTACAATTCTTATCAGTTTTTTATATTTAAGCATCAAATTGTTCAATTAGATTAAATCTAAGATATTCAGAATGATAAAGTAAATAGTTTTAGATTCTGCAAGTGCATCATGCAGTATATTGTCTTTAAGTTATACATATAATGCAACACAATGCGTAAGTTCCATATGAACAGGAGAATCTGGATATTTTTCTGCTAATCCTGGCAGTTTGAAAATTCTTTCTCGTAATTGGCCGCAATTTGAAATTGGTGCGTCATTTGTCAGGCGTAGTCATAAACGAAATTGTTTATATTATGAATCGTAGCCTGAAATAACCAGAGGTTTATGTAGCGTTACTAATACGAAGGCCTAATTTGTGCTAATTGTTACAGATGTTTCAAAAATAAACTAGTGCTGCAGCGTTATCATCGCTACTGCTGTTGTTGTTTATTTATACTTAGTAAGCAGAATCGAAACGACTATATTCCTAAACGTCCGTTTAAACTAGCTAAACTTTGAACCCAAGAACGCGAATATTTGACACTTTCGCTAAAGGAAAACTTTGATGTGTACACAACATGACTTTCTTGTACGGAATATTACATTATACGCTTTTTTCTTGCATTTCATTTAAACTTATTGGGTTGAATTAAATCTACTTCGTCGACAGCACATAAACCACAATAGAATAAATGCACTCTTAAAATTCACTATATTTGTTTACCATAGCGACACTCTGGCTAGGTTCACTTAACAGTATTATATTTCGTTCATATTATAAGTATGTCTATGTCTTATCACTTAGTAAGAGGCAATCGACCATTAACGTCCTTTACCAATATATTATACTTGACTTTTAAATGCTTGAGGAATCGAGTAAGTTGTATCCAATAATATGGAAGCACTTGTGCACATGCTGTGCTAGAACTCAGAGATTACTAGCGACGGAGGCTCCTGTGCCGCCGTCCGTAGAATAAGTAAACTTTGAACAAATGAGGCGTCGTGTGGCGCCATCTATTAGTAGGGATGAAAAGCATTTTAATTGACTGGAGCTGTGGTTGTGCCATCTCTTGCAGGATGTATTGTAAGGCATTTTTAAAATTTCATAAAAATTACTCTTCTGATAAGCAATAATTGGAAAGTGAAATGATAAAAAACATAATTTGATAAAAAAACACAATTTGTGTGCATTGAAATGTTTCACATAGCGTAAAAACTATTTATACACAAAGTCTACCTGCTTTGGCAGAATTAAAGTCCATAGCGCATTGTAATTGGATAAGTAAATCTATAAGTAAAGAAAGTGAAGTAAAATCTTGGCTAAATAAGAAGAAAACGAAAATATATACATTACCGCCGACTCTTATGGTGAATGGTACAGGGCCTCTTGTGGCGTTGTTCAATTGTGAAATCATAATTTCCTAGTTTTTTAATGACATTCTTCGGATGACTGTCACATTTCATAAAAAAGTTATGAGAAGCTTTTAGAATTTCAGACTCCGTGGGTTTAATTTTTAAGTCATTGTGAAGAGTGCTGTTTCGTACGAACCAAGGCGCATTTGTAATTATTCGGATGGCCTTGTTTTGAATTCTTTGTATTTTTGCGATGAGTTCTTGCAGTTGAATCCCACGCTGGGGAAGCATACAAATCGGGCGGATAGCTTGTAGATAAATAACTCTTTTTGTAGCGAGAATAAGTTTAGAATTTCTCCCCTATGAATACATAGATACTGCCTATTGCTTGGTTGGCTTTTTTGCAGATATTTTCGATATGGTTTTTGAAGGTTTTGATCGAGATATAAACGCCTAAATATTTAACACATTTTTCATTGGGGATGGAGATATTATTAACTGTGATATTGTTGAGATGTCTTCTGAAAGGGTTCTTTTGGAAATAAATTGTAGTGGATTTGCTTTTATTGATTTTAATTTTCCAAATTTTAATTTTAATTTTCCATTGGGAAAATATAGTCTATTGCATTTTGGAGGTTTTGGATGGCTCTTTGCGGACTGATGGATTTGCTGAGAATTGCAATATCGTCTGCATAGCAGGCGATAATGGCATCTTTGTGGCTGGGAAGATCATTTATGTAGATGTTAAAAAGAAAAGGTGAAAAATTCGAGCCCTGAGGGACACCTGCTTTCAATACACTGATATTAGATAGCTCGTTCTTAATACGAACTTGAAAAGTTCTGTTTTCCAAAAAACTTGAAATTAGTAGAATTAATCCAGGTAAAAATTTGTTTCCGATAAGTTTCATAAGGAGGCCTCGGTGCCAAACCTTATCAAATGCTTTTTCAATATCAATGAAGATGCCAGCAACAGTTTCTTTTTTATTAAAGGCTTCACCGATGATATCAGTAATTCTTGTAACTTGTTGGGTGGTGCTATCCATGCCTAAATCCAAATTGATGTTCCTTAATAATATTATTGTCGCCCACCAGCGGCCGAGCGGTAAAGACGCTGAACGCTGGTAGTTCGGTCCGAGGTGGTTCGAATCCCGCGAACGGGCTGGCTGCATGGGCGTTTTCGTAGTTTTCCCATGTGTAACGTGTACACGAGCCAGTTTCCCTTAGAAAGTCCTCCACGAAGGCATTCCTCCCTTTAGGCAGATAGCCCTCGTGTGCTTTGCCATAATTAAATTATACATACATATCCAATATTATTGTCTTCAGCGAATTTAGTGAGCTTATTAATGACAAATCTTTCAAACAGCTTTCCAACAGCTGAAAGTAAACTGATGGGTCTGTCACCAACTGATTACAAGTTGAAGATCCATTTTTAGCCAGGTTTCTTCAAGAACAATGATTATCGCATGCTTGTATTGTTTAGCGAAGAAATCGTACACGCAGGCAAGCATTAAAGATGTAATATAGTGCAGTTGCAGGATGGCTTTTCTTGGTAAATTTTGCAGGGTTTTATTAGTAATTTGGTCATAACCGGGAGCTTTTCTTGGTTTTAATTTTCGAATTAATTTTGTAATCTCTCTGGGCATACTATAACTCAGAATGCACAAAATTTATATCATTTAAAGAATTATCTAATCGTTGCCACATGTTCTATTCAAATACTATAATAAAGCTAGAACCATGTATAAAAAATAAGCAAACAAAACAAAAAAGAAACAGTTTTTCACAGACGATTGAGTATTTCTCATTCAATTAATTCAGTTCTCACTTCGCGACAAGACAAAAATACATAAAAACTCAAAATATTTGTATTAAAAATTACAAAGTAAATTACAAAGTAAATTTTAAACATTTATTTCCTCAAAAAAATTCCAGAGAGGATTAAGCATGATTGAATGTGATTACGGCAAAGCCACGAGGGCTCTATCTGCCTAAGGAGAAGGATGCCTTAGTGGAGGACTTTCTAAGGGAAACTGGCTTGTATATACGTTACACATGGGAAAAACCACGAAAACGCCCATGCAGCTAGCCCGTTCGTGGGATTCGAACCTCGGACCGAACTACCAGTGTTCAGCGACTTTACCGCTCGGCCGCTGGTGGGCCATGATTCAATTCGCAATAATAAATGAAAGCATAATCTTTGTTGTTGCAAAGCTAAGTTTCTCTAGATTGGCAACAAATCCACTATTCTGCTGTTTCAAAACAAGCAATGGCCGCCATCAAAAAAATTATTAGGCAAAAAATTATTATTAACGGAACTTAAATAGCTTTAAAATTGTTGATAATTCTAAAAATATTGCATACAGATTTCCTAAATGCATAAAAACCTTAACCGGAAGATAAGAACAACATAATTCAATCATTTTTAAACCAAAAAATGTACAATTGGCAAACATATAAGATTAAAGAAACTGAGATCACTGAGCCGGGTAACAGACTGGATATATATATAAATATTGTTGCGTGCGTACGGGTTCATTACGAAATGAATGCACAAGTCCGATGAAAAATGAAGAAAAATTTATTATTATAACAACAAATATGATTAAATGTCCTCAAATAATCGTGCAGTATCACATATTACAATATCTCACAGTAGTTATCTTTTAACTACTCAAAACGATTCAAGATAACGTAATTCAAACAGCTAAAGAAAGGTAATCCGAGAATTCGCTACAGTCAACAAGAGCAGTTTTTTTTACAACAGACTCTTAAAACAACAACAAACTAACTAAAATCACAACAACAACTGAGAGGATTTCCTTCCTTGTATAAGATTTTAAATCATGCGCGAGAATTTTCTAGGAACTTTCTTGAAATCAAAGAGATATATTTATTTATTAAATGCTAAACGCACGTGCTCTTGTTATTTTTAATTTTCCGGCTTAACTTTTCTTTAATATTCGTCACGCGCTATGCTGCAAGGGGAAATAAAACCAATTTAATTTATAAGTCTAACTAACATTAGCTTTTTAAATACCAAATTCGTAACAATATATTTATATACGTTTGTTCCGGCCGATTGCAACCAAAATACGAGGTGCACATCTACATGTTATAACAGTCCTATATACAAAATTTCAACGTTCTGAGGCTACTCGTTTTTTGTGTTATGCGAGATACGTACGTACGTACATACGTTCCAACAGACGGCACGAAAAATTCTCTTCAGAATTCATTTTAAAGCAGTTCTATAATTTTCTTTGGATGAAAAGAGTCTTTTATTCTGTCCTTAACGTACAGATGTCACTCAAAAACATCGTTAAATTGCATTCGATAGCGGTCAAAATGGATATTTTCGTTGAAATATGCTGCCTGAAACTTTTCGCGATTACAATACTTCCTTTTTACTTGGTACAAGGAAGTAAAAAAAAAGGCAGTCACTCCTTTAACACAGGGAGTGCATTCCTGAATAACAATATTAGAGACAAAAAAAAAAAAAAAATTATGCAAAACATGTCCCTGTAAAGCGCTTATATCTCAATAATCCCAAAAGTTATAGTT